GGTGGAGCTGCAGACTTGTAGGTGCTACTGGACTCGTACGGCCGATGCTCGGATCCTCTCCACCTGTATGTGTTCTTCCTACTCGGTCCAATGACGGTCTCGATGATGCTATCCTCCTCCTCTCTACTTAATTGGGTCGGAGTGTTAGAATCGACCTAAGTCTGTGATAATTGCTCCTGCACCTTAGCATGTAATTTCTCCTGCGATATACCAAAACAATCCGATCAATTCTAACACATTTAAAATGCATTGTTATAAAAATTAAATATACAAATGAACTGCTACTTACAGCCAGATCCCGGTTCTGCGCTTTCTTCACTTCATCGGCGTAATTTGGACTCCAACCAGTCAGAATACGATCTGCAAAATGCCCGAGTTCTCCCCTTCCCTATTTTATTCACATATATCATTAACTCATAACACATAAATTATACTCAAATTGATAACCTAAGAGCTAATATATTATATACCTCAAGCGCCAATTGATGATAATGCTGGCTGAAGGACCTGGAGCCCCCGTGATGCTCGTAACTGCGGGGCGCATTGCGGTTCCTCCTTGCTATTTCAGCTTGTTCCTGCAAAAGAATGTTAAACAGATATAATATAGAATTTCAAACAATAAACGAAGATATATACTTCAATAATACCTGAACTTCGGCCGTGTCCCAATAATCGCAAAGTGCAAAAAAATCAACCCCATCGGCGCGCTCGTCAAGATGCCAGTAACGCTCCCAATCTTCTGTTCTTTGAGTAAAATATTTTTTCTTCAGCTCTGACCGCCACCTCTTGAACGATAGATTGATTTGCGTGAAGCAGTAAGTCCAGGCATAAGCGTAATCGTCAAGAAAGAAAAATCGCTTCAGCATACAATGAAAAAAGAGATACAAATCAGTGTGTTAAACAAAATAATATAAACTATAAAATAAATGACTCACACATATATATCGCCAACAAGCCACCAGCGCATCAATCCGCTGCGACTTCCACGTCAAATATATGTTGAAGAAATCATGTCTCCTGGCTAAAGCGGCGAGGAAATTGTTGAAAGAGTTAGCAAATGGCCCGACAGGCACGCCGTTCTGCCATCGGATCACGGCCCTCCGACGAATATCTGGGACGAGGTTCTGTGGCTTGGTACTACTGCGGCCGCGCCTAGTAGGTCGCTCGGTACCTACGAAAAAATGAAATTCAGGCGAAATATAAATCAATCAATATCGATAATACAAATTAAAATATTAACATATAAACTATAAAAATCTATACACACCTTTCAATTCGAGGCATCTACGCCTTGCTTGTTCATACCTCTGCTGTGCGATAAGTCGCAAATCATGATAAGCATCCCAATCCTCCTTCACCTTGGCCGGGTCGTGGGCTCGCTGATCCGGAATAGAATCCGGCGGTAGTGGCGCAGCTTCTACAGCTGCGCTATATGGCTCATATCGGCGCTCCTCCAATACATCTGCAGCCTGAGGAGGCGACGGCGGCATCTCTGCATGCTGGGCAGGATCAACGAGTGTCTCCGCATCAGGTGGAGCATCTCCTCGTCCTGTGTCCTGTGGCGGCCCGTCATGTGTAGCAGCGATGCGGCCTGCGTAGGAAATGTGAAAAAATAATGTTAGGCTCGTATTAATAGTTTATAGAAATGTACAGATATAATAAATAAATAAAAATACCTGACGTAGAGCCATGTGCGTCGCCTCCAGAATGTCTACCAATAAGTCTCTCAAGCGCTCTCTTACGTAATCCTTTTGTCATCTATACTTTGAAAACATAATGAGTACCCAACAAAACTATAATACATGACAAAAACTGATACATGATAACCAGTCAAACAGATAATATAAATGCAATACTATAATACATAACACAAACTGATACATGATAACCAGTCAAACAGATAATATAAAGGCAATACTATAATACATGACAAAAACTGATACATGATAACCAGTCAAACAGATAATATAAAGGCAATACTATAATACATGACAAAAACTGATACATGATAACCAGTCAAACAGATAATATAAAGGCAATACTATACTACATAACACAAACTGATACATGTCCTTATGATGATGTTGAGGCTCTACTCTGCGACCGTGTGCGGTTAGCCTGCGACCGTGTGCGTGCAGACAAAAGGACTGTCCTTATAGTTTTATCGACTCTACCGTGGACTCGTTTTTTGATTTTACGCCTTGGCTCACATATAATCGCAGGTACATCAGGGCGCGCCAGTGCAATTTCATCCACCAGATTATTTTGTGTCAAGGAAAACTCAGCAACTGTTTCGTCGGCCAAGATAACATCTTCATGATCTTCGTCAGACACGGCTTCATGAATGTAGGATCTAGGCGGATTCTTAAGGACAACCCATTCGTCATTTTTCATTATATCTTTGACATAAAAGCACTGTTTTGCGTGAGCAGCTAACATGTACTTTTCAGTCTGATATATTTCCTTGTTAAGATTAACGAGTGTGTAACCGTAGTCATCCTTCGCCTTTTTCAGCTCACTCCAACGAACCTTAAACATCACATGTCTGACTTCATTATTAATCCCATAGAAAATCTCCACAATGTCTTCTACCTGACCGTAGCAATAGATTTCACCTTGTATCGGATTTAGATCTTTTGAACTAGCGTATGACAGTTGCGAGAAGGAGCAGAACACACCGCTATTTTGCGTTTGTCGTCTCTCTTCGAAACCGATGGTGTTAAACCTAAAGCCGTTGATACAGTAGCCTCCATAACGCTTAACCACGTTAGAAGGACCTCTGGCATATAAACATATTTTCTCAGGCAGGTTAACCCCATTCGTAATACGTCGGTCAACCTTTAAGAAAAGAAACAAATAGTTTAAATATCTGTTGGCAGGCACATATTTGATATACGAATCAGAAATGTAAATAAATCTTACTTCACCCTTCAGCCATGCAGGGAATTGTCTAGAGTGTGTGTCCATAACTCTTTTGTTTTTTGTTCTGCATTTAAGAATAGTCTGGACATATCGGATGTGAAGCCTAGAATAAAATCATTTACAACAGTTAAATAGAGATAGTTATTGTGATGTGATATGATCTGATTCAAACAGTTAAATACTTACGTCGCGTATATGTTAAATGTAGTATCATTGCTCAAGATATATGTGTGGGCTTGATCTAGCTCCATTCTGGGGAATCTAGTGTCCTCCCCACGATCATTATAGAATGTTCCGTCAATTATTCGTTGGGGACGGTTGAGCCTTGTCTCCACACCCCGCAAGTAACGAGAGATGAAATTCAAACTCTCATTACTTATATAGTTCTCTGCTATCGATCCTTCAGGACGTGCACGATTATGCATCAAATGTTTCATGAAACCCAAATACCTACAAGCATATAGTTTCATGATTTGTGACAAAATAAAACTGATATACGTAATTTAACAAATATTAATTGAGCATTATAATAATAAATACCTCTCCACAGGGTACATCCAGCGATATTGAACTGGTCCTGCGATGCGGGCTTCATATGCTAAATGTATTGTGAGATGCACCATGACCGTAAAGAACGAGGGTGGAAATAGAATTTCCATTTTACACAGTGTATTGGCTACACGTCCCTCTAATTCTTCAAACTCCCTGACATCAATCACCTTGGAGCACAACTGCTTGAAGAAACCGCAATATTCTATTACCACCATCGCGAGTTCCTTCTCAGCATGTCGCAACGCAACCGGGAGAAGTTGATGCAATAGAATATGATGGTCATGTGTCTTGAGTCCCAAAATTTTCCTGTCCTCAATATGCACATTTGCTGAAATGTTTGAAGCATAACCATCCGGTGTCTTCACGGACTTTAGAAATAAACACATATTATGGATCTCATCCTTCGACAGTGTGACACGGGAGGCTGGGAGTACAAACTTTCCGTCACCCTTATCTATAGCTTGCAGTTCGGGACGGATGTTCAATTCTGCTAGGTCTCGACGTGCCCTTAAGTCATCTTTTGATTTTTTCCCGTCCTGCAACAAAGTGTTCAAGAGATTCTCGCATATGTTCTTCTCGATGTGCATGACATCCAAGTTGTGACGTATTTTTAAACTTCTCCAATATGGCAATTGATAAAATATGCTGAATTTTGACCATCCATGCGGAAGTTCAGTACCCTTAGAGACACGCACATGCGATTGGACAGTGCGAGGTTTATTTCCCATCCTTGTTTGCTTACCCTTTCCCCTTCCCTTCCAATTTTGCTTCAATATTTTTCTCCTAACCCCAAATGGATTTTCTTTGTTGAATCTTTTCTTTCCAAATATTTTTTTAGGTAGAGGATGTAGAAGCTCAAATATTTCTTCCCCGGTCAGCCTTGGTGGTGCCGGTCTGTTTTCTGGATTGCCGTCGAACTTTCCTACTAACTTTCTGAACTTGTGCCCTGTAGGTAACCATCTTCTGTGTTGCCAATAACAGAACTTGCGGCTGTATTTCAGGAACTTTCCCTCATAATCTGACATGCAAACCGGACAAGCAATCTGACCCTTCGTCGACCATCCAGACAAGTTAGCATATGCTGGAAAGTCATTAATTGTCCACATGACCATTGCACGCATACGGAAAGCCTCCTTACCATAAGCATCGTAAGTGCTGACGCCTTCATCCCAGAGAAGCTTCAAGTCGTCAATTAATGGTTGGAGGAAAACATCAATGTCATTTCCAGGAGAATATCTTCCAGGGATCAAGAGTGACAGTATCATGTATGGCTGCTTCATGCACATCGACGGCGGCAGGTTGTACGGTGTCAGCAACACTGGCCAGGTAGACCAAGCAGAGCTCATTACTCCAAACGGATTAAATCCGTCGCTAGCAAGCCCCAGCCTAATATTCCGAGACTCCTTACCAAAGTCAGGGTATATACGATCGATGTGCTTCCATGCCTCACCATCAGCAGGATGTCTCAATTTCCCGTCCTCTTTACGATCGGTCGAATGCCATCGCATATTCTCAGCCAGCTCGGCAGACATATAAAACCTCTGCAGCCTAGGAATAATAGGAAAATATCGGAGAACCTTCACAGGGATTCTGCTCTGTTTATTGGATGATATGCCTTCAGATGTGCCCGTATGTTTTTTCCAGCGTGATACATGACACGTCGGACATTCCTCTAGACCTTCATTACCCTTATTGTACAAGATGCAGTCATTAGGACAGGCGTCTATCTTTTTGTAATCAAGACCCAGGGTATCAACAATCTTGTGAGCTTCATAATAAGTTGTGGGGATGCTCTTCTCGCCGCCTGGAATGACTTTCCTGAGCAAGTCTAATAACATATCGAAATGTGTAACAGCCATCCCACTGAGTGTTTGGATATGAAGAAGCCTCAGCATAAAAGAAAGCCTTGTGAACTCGGTGCAACCCTCGTATAACGGTGACTCGTTTTCTTCAACAAGTCTCATCAATCGGGCTACATCTTGAAACATATCAGTAGTGTTAACATCACTCGAAGACGGCACGGTAAGAATATCTTCCAACATATCAGTTGTGTCAA